CAGTTTGAGATATTTTGGAGTGTGATAAAGTTCTACATAAATAATTATTGCTTTAACAGCTTCCACTGGAACAAGAACAAAGACATTACAGGTAGATTATTTTCAATCTCAAATTTTCTGTATTACTCACTTGCCATCATCTGCATGGTAGGCAATAGAATGTGGAAGCCATCCTGGTTGATGATCCAGCTTGTAATACTGAGGGACTAATCCTACTGCAATGGTCCCTCTTACACCAGTATCCACTATACATACCTAGACAGAGGAAAAATAGGTCATATTTCATTAACTAACTGGCATACTTCTGCAACAGAGTCATATTCTTCAAAAATATCCAGTTTTCCTGTCAGGTCTGTACTCTATGGAATTTAGAAGAATGAGTCATAGAGTCATAAAGTTCTACAGCATGGAAACAGGCCCTTCGGCCCAACTTGCCCATGCTGCCCAGTTTTCACAATTTAAACAAGTCCCATTTACCTGTGCTTAGTCCATGTCCCTCCATACCTATTCCATCCATGTACCTGATGAGAGGGGAATTCATTGAAACTTACAGAATACTGAGAGGCCTGGATAGAATGAATGTGCAGAAGATGTTTCCACTCGCAGGAGAGACTGCGACCCGAGGGCACAGCCTCAGAGTGAAAGGATGACCCTTTAGAACTGTGATAAGGAGGAATTTCTTCAACCAGAGGGTGGCTAATCTGTGGAACTCATTGCTGCAGAAGACAGTGGGGGCCAAGTCATTGAGTGTAATTAACATAGAAAATGGAACATAAAGTATAGCATAGGAACAGGTCAGTGGGCTCACCATGTCTGTGCCAACTACAATGCTGTTCTAAGGTAATCTCATCTGCTTGCATATGGTCTGTGTCCCTCTATTTTCTGCCTGTTCATGTGCAGGCCTAAATGCCTCTTTTGCTATCATATCTGCTTCTATCACCTCCCCTGGCAGCACGTTCCAGGCATCTACTAATGTCCGAGTAAAATAAACTTCCCTTGCACATCTCCCTTAAACTTTCCCCCTCTCACCTTAAACCTATGCCTCCTAGTATTTGACATTTCCACCCAGGGAAAGAGACTTCAACTATCCAACCTAATCATGTCTCTCATAATTTTACATACTTGTATTCGGTTACCTCTCAGTCTTCGACGCTCTAGCAAAAAACAATCTGGGTTTGTCCAAAACAATCAAAGTTAATTCAACCTCTCCTTATAGCTAATACACTCCAATCCAGGCAACATCCTGGTAAAACTCTTCTACAGCCTCTCCAAAGCCTCCACATCCTTCTTATAGTGTGGCAACCAGAACTGTGCACAGTACTCCAAACGTGGCCTGACCAAAGTCTTACACAGTTGCAGCTTGACTTGGCAACTTTTATACTCAATGTCCTAACCAATGGGGACAAGTAGGCCGTATGCCTTCTTTACCACCTTATCCATTTGTGCTGCCACTTTCAGGCAGCTATGGACTTGGACCTCAAGATCCCTCTGTATATCAATGCCCTCAAGTGTCCTGCCAGTTACCGTATACTTTCCTCTTGCATTTGATCTCCCAAAATGCATCACCTCACACTTGTCCAGAATAACCTTCTTCTGCCATTTTTCCAACCAACTTTCCAGCTGATCTATATCCTGCTGCATCCTTTGATATCCTTCCTCACTATCCACAACTCCATCAATTTTGTCTTGTGCAAACTTACTAATCAGACTTCTGACATTTTCATCAAAATCGTTAAGATATATTCCAAACAATGGAGGTCCCAGCACTAATCCTTGTGGAACACAACTGGTCACAGACCTCAAGTCAGAAAAATATCCCTCCACAACTACCCTCTGTTTTCTATGTTCAAGCCAATTTATATCCAACTTGACAACTCACCATAGACTCCATGCAATTTGATGCAAATAACACAGAGACCGATAGGCTCTTGAACAGTAAGGGGATTGAGGGTTACGGGGAAAAGGCTGGAGAATGGGGTCGAGAAACATATCAGCCTATATCTTTATCATCTTATGGTGAAAATTTTAACCCTGTCCAAACAACTAATTGTCATATGACCTGCAGCTACACAAGGAAACTTGTATCTATAGTCTCAGAAGATTACAACGTGACCAGAGATATAAACTCCTGTGGAAAACAACCCCCTGTTTACATTTATTTATTTCAAATGCAACATTGCAAAGCATGTTACAAGATAGATGCAGAGCACTGAGCAGGAAATAAGATGACTGCTGGTGCAACCATTGAAGTGGTTTTTGATGTGTTGTGAAGGTGAGGGGGCCAAGAAGGGAGTTCCGGCATGTCACCAATTGCATTTCTATGACCCCAGCTCAATTTATTAAACATTTCAGCAATTATCTCACCAAGTAGATTAAGTTATTTTGACTCACTCCCAAAATAAGTTAGTTTCCGTTTTTTTTTAAAAAGGTCACATTCACAGAAGTAAAAGAAAACAAGACCATTTGCCTTTACTTTAGAACTAAGTTCCTCAATAATAATATTATAAACTTTCATCATACTTCTCCAAGAAGAAAAGCTTTGAATTCTCCAATCTACACACAAAACTGCAATCCTTCATCACTGGAACCATTCCCACGAATCTTTTTTGCACTTTTTCCAACACCTTAACATCCTCCCTGAACTGTGCTGCCTAGAATTGATCCAGTGTTTTATTACGGTACATCATAATTTCCTTGCTTTTTACTATATTTATAAAATTGTATGCCTTATTAATCACTTTCTCAATCTAAATAAAAAAAGAACTGCAAATCATAAACAAAAACAGAAATTTCTGGAAAAGCTCAGCAGGTCCGATAGCACGTGTGGCGAGAAATCAGAGTTAATGTTTTAGGTCCAGAGACCCTTCTTCAGAACTCTCTCAACTTACTCTGCCACCTCCAACAATTTGTACACATGTTCCATCAAGTTCCTCTGCTCCTCAAACTCTTCAGAATGTGTTATTTTGTATTACCATTCCTCATTCTTCCTACCAAAATGTATTAGCTAACGCTTCTCTGCACTAAATCTTGTCTGCCATGCATTTGCTCTTTCCAACAAGCTGTCCATGTCTTGAAATCCACCACTATCCACTTCCCTGTTCACAATATTTCTCAAAGTCTTTTGTAATCGACAAATTTTGAAATGTGCCCTTTGTACCCAAATCTGAGGTGTCCTGAGGAAGGGTCACCGAACCCGAAACGTTAACTCTGTTTTTCCCTTCACAGATGCTGCCAGACCTGCTGAGCTTTTCCAGCAACTTTGTTTTTGTACCCAAATCTAAGTCATGAATATATATCAAGAAAAGTATGCAACCTAACACTGACCTCTTGAGATACCTCAGCAAAAACAACTGTTCACCATTAAGAAAGCTAATAGAATGTTATAATTTACAGGGAGGAGAATTGAACACAAAAATAGAGATATTATACTTCAATTATACAGGACACTGGTGATAATCACAACTGGAGTACTGTGTACAGAATTATTCTTCTTACTTAAAGGAAGGATGTAAGTACTTTAGAAACATTTTAGGGAAGATTTACTTGACTAATATCTGGAATGGGTATGATTTCCCATGAGGAAATAGTTGGACAAGCTAGGCTTGTATCTACTGGAGTTTAGAAGAAACTTGATTGAAACACGCAAGATCCGGAGGGTTCTTGACAAGGCAGATGTGGAAAGAATGTTTTCTATTGTAGGAGAATCTAGAACAAGGGGTTACTGTTTAAAGCTCAGGGATTGCCCATTTAAAAAGGGATGAGGCAAATTATTTTCTTTCAGAGGGGCATGAGTCTTTGGAAAAGAGGTGGAGCAGAGTCCTTAAATATTTTTAATGCGGAGGTAGAGATTCTTATTAAGCAAAGGGGTGAAAGGTAATCACCAGGTATGTGAATTTAAGGTTACAATCAGATCAGCCATGATCTTAATAAATGGCAAAGCAGGCTAGAGGGGCAAAATGGTCGACATGTGCTCCTTATTTATGTGCATACGCTACTCACAGTTTCCTGTCATTCAAACAACTTTGTGTCCATACTGCAACTGTTCCTTTAATTCTAGGGGCTTCAGCTGTGCTGACAAGTCTATCTGACAGCACTTCATCTGATACCTTTTGGAAGCACATGCACACCACACCAACCATATTATGTTCACCAAATCATACCGCATCACCTCACCAAAAACTTAATCAAATTAAGTAAAGCCAATGGCAAATCGATGCTACCTACATCTTGCTCAAATGTTGTCTTGATGTCAAAGGCAATAGACGTGTTGGAGAACTAGACGGCACTCATTTATGACCTCTGTTTGTGGAATCTTTGATGTACAAATGGGCAACACAACTCTAATCACTGCATTCGAAATTAATTCACTATGCATGAAGCAGTTTGAGATATTTTGGAGTGTGATAAAGTTCTACATAAATAATTAAATAAATAAAAATCCAAGATGAAGTATAATGTGGTAAAATGTGAAGTTGTTCACTTTGGCAGGAAGAAGGAAATAACAGAATATTACTTAAAACAGTGAATGACTGGAAAATTCTGAGGTGCAGAGGGATTTAGGTGTTCTGGGCATGAGTCACAAAGTTACTGTGCAGCAAGTGATTTGGAAGGCTAATGAACATCAAAGTAAGGATATTATGCTTCAGTTACACAGGACATTGGTGAGACCACCTCTTGTATACTGTTTTGTTTTTTTGTCAAGGAAGGATATATATGTCTTGGAGGCAGTTCAGAGGACATTTACTCGATTGATACTGGAAAACTAGGTTGCCTTATGAAGAAAGACTGGACAAAGTGGACTTGTTTTTACTGGAGTTCAGAAGACCAAAGGGTGATTTGATTCAAGTTCATAAAATTCTGAATGATCTTGACAGATTGGATATGGTAAGGCTGTTTGTTCTGGTGGATTAGCCCAAAAGTGTGGGACACTGTTCTTAAACTTAAGGGTTGTCCTTTTCGGACAGAGATATAGGGATTTCTACTCCTAATTCCTGTACCAAGTTAATTTCACAACCCTTCACAATCACAGTCATACATGTCACAGAATTACAGAAGTGTTATCATTAGAATCCCTACAGTACAGACAGAGGCCATTCAGCCCATCAAGTCTGGACTGAACCTCCAAAAAGCATCCCACCCTATTCCTATAACGCCACATTAACCATGGCTAATCCACCTAGCCTGCACACACAGACAATTTAGCATGGCCAATCCTCCTAACCCGCACATCTTTGGACTGTGGGAGGAAACCAGAC